TAAAAAAAAAAACCTTCCCAAATCCAATCCACACAGAGCCACAGCCTGCAAATGCCATCATTCTCTGCCCTGCATTCCCTTGGAGAGTGCCATCTGCATTTGCAGCGACTGGATTTGAACGTCCCTCTGGCCGATTTCGACTCAGGCCCGGCTCAGTCTCCATCCTACCCCAACAGGCTCACACCCTGCCCACCACAGCCAATGACTCCTTTCTAAGACCAGCTAGCTTTCTCCTGCGTTCTCATAATCATTTTTTTTTTAATTTGTAAAGAGATAAGGCCTTGAAGATGTTTTGTTGTGTTTTGTTTCCATTTTTGATCATTAAGACCCTCCGATTCCATTTGCACTGAATTTAACCGAGGAGAAAACAACATCATGTAAACTCTTCCTGGTCAGTCATATCCCAGTCACGTTAAACGAAGAAAAATCCCCTTTGCTTTGCGCATGGAAGAAGAACCGACACCGTCAGAAAACAAATTAGATGAGGAAAACGACAAAAATTAGAGAGTGGAGAACATTTTAATTACGTGTGAAGCGGATTATTAATTTTTTAAAAATCTCACCAAGCACGCCCATACAAGGTGTAATAAACAGCAACATCCTCCCCCGCCCCCGCCCCCAAAAAGCATCCTGATTCGAAACACACTTCTCTCCCTCTTCTCCACTTGGAAGACAAGAAAAAAAAATCTGCTTTCCCCCAGGATACACTTGCTCCTGTTCTTTGTCCTGTTAATTGTTTCTCTGTGATTCCGCCCTCCCAGCAGAGACGGCCTGGCAGGCCTCTGAGGTGCCCAAGTGGGGGTGTCCTGGCCTCGGGACTCACAAAGTCTCTGTGGGAGCTGCCCTGCTTCCCTCTGTAACCCTGGGAGAGGCCTGGGGGCCGCAGATGCTGAGGCCCAGACTTCCCAAGGTCCAGATCTGGACAGGGGTTTGAGCCCTAACACTGCACAGACTCACTGTGTGACCTTGGGCCAATGTCCTAACCTCCCTGAGCCTCAGCTGCCTCTTCCTGGAAATCAGTTTCATAACAGTAACACCACCTCCCAGGGCAGCTGTGCAGGTTAAATGAATGGGGATCCTGAGCATAGCGCCTGGCGGGTACCAAGCACCCAGCGAAGACTCCATGTTCCTATTATGATTGCACTTCAGTTCAATGTAACACCTGCAAATCGAGGGCCTGCTGTGAGCAGCTGCTGCCCAGGTACCGGGGCACCTGCGGAACGGGGTGTCCGCTGTGAGCAAAAGGGCCTGGAGAACCCAAACGTTCTCAAATGCCAGCAGACTAGAGCACACCCCTGCCGGAAATTCCAGCCCCAGCGTCTCGAAGCCCTGCACGGCCTGGCCCTGCCCTGGTGGCAGCCACGCAGTCCTGTGCCCCGAGGGCTCCAGCACCCCCCCACCCGCCCCTTGAGCCCATCAGCGACAGGGTGCTGTGTTCCCGTTTGGAGCCGCCCCGTCCCACACTTCGCAGGGGTCTTGTTCCGCGAGCCTCGCCGCCAACCTATGAGATGGACATCCCTACCCTCCCATCCTACAGAGGGGAGAGGCGCACCTCGGAGATGTGAAGACTCTTGCCGGGCACAGCACAGAGGGTGCGGGCTACCGAGGTCGCGCTGCAGGCAGCCCGACGCCAGGGCTCCCGGACCCCTTCTCCTCCTTCTCCAGGGGGCAAAAGCTGATGCGCCCTTTACCCCTCGACAAAGCCAGAATTTCCTCGGAGAACCCTTGATCGGGGTCCTCATTCCAGGGTGCCATGAGGAGCCAGATGTCTCCTGGAGGCAGGGCCTGGGTCTCACTCACTCCCCGCCCGCCCCCGCAGCCCCCGCGCCCCCCCCCCCCCCCCCCCCCCCAAGCTCTGCAACCATGAGCTAGTGGCTTTGCCTCCAGGAGGCTCTGTCTCCTCATCCACGGAATGCAGGGAAAAACAGGAGCTCCCTCATTCAGTCATGGAGATTAAATGAGGGGACACGTGGAAACTGCTTGTCACAGGACCCAGCACGTAGTAAGTGCCCAATAAATGTTAGCGATTGTCCCAACATTATTACTGTCACCCCAGGGCCACTGCAGACCCTTGCATACACCTGGCATTAGTGAATGAATGGCTCCAGGGAGGGAGGTAAGGAGGGAGGGACCCATGAATGGACGGATGGATGGATGAATAGATGGAGGGATGAAAGGGTGCAGGGATGGGGGGAGGAACCGAGTACGTGTCTCGCCAGTCTCCTTCCCTAGTGCCCAGCGCAGGCCCGGCGGGGGGAGATGCCAAGAGGCCTCGGCTGGAGGTTGAAGACTCCTGGTCCCTCTCCTGCTCGCCCACCACGCAACCCTGCAGGGAGGCTGTCCGGGCCGGGCACAGCCCTCTGAAAGGGGAGGTCTCAGGGGCTTCCACCCGTCCCTGCCCCCGAGGGGCATGAGCCTATGTGCCCTGCCTAAGGGGAGGTCTCAGGGGCTTCCACCCATCCCTGCCCCCAAGGGGCATGAGCTTACATGCCCTGCCTCCGGCCTGCAGCTGGGGGCAGGGGAGGACAGCTCGGCACCAGGGGACTCAGCCAGAAAAGGCGGGCGGCAAGGCGTCCCAGGAGGCACTCCGCAGTGAAATGCTGCATTTCACATAAAGGGGGTTTGCAATGGGCCCTGCTTGAAGAAATCAGGGAAACTGGGAATGCAGAGCCTTCTTTTAATACCCATTTAATATTTATGGAGCCTCAGCAGCGCGTCAGCCGCTGTGCGGAGAACGCAGCCGACCCACGGAGGGGGAGCAACATTTCCCAAACAAACGGCTTCTAGCTGGGAAGCGTTTACACCTGGTCCACAAAACAACGCAGCACGCAGGCAGTGCAACAGGGCCCCTGGGACCCGCCAGGCCCCGCTGTGCGGAGACCACCTGGGACCCCGTCCCGACTCCCCATCCAGCAGAGTGAGTGACCTTGAGCAAGGCACACATCCTGGCCAGGCGGCAGGTGCCTCCTCTGTGCCCGTGGGTGGGAAGAAAATGAAACGGGGGGGGGGGATGAATTAATTAATGCATTTATTTATTCAACAAACATTTACCACAGCCCTACATACTGTCACTGTTCCAGGTGCCAGAAAGAGCAGTAAGAAAGAAGTCACTGCCCTCAAGGGAAGGGGGTGAGGAGGGGGCAACAAAGGAAACGCACAAGTACATAGAAAAGATACTTTCAGATAATAATATGTGCCTGGAAAAAGACAAAACAGAGTAACGGCATAATGAATAGGGGGAAAGGGGGATTGTTACTTGAAATTGGCGGGTCAAGAAAGACCTGTCTGAAGAGGTGATGTCACCTCAAAGGTGAGTGCTGAGAGGGAGCCAGCCACACACCCAGACCTGGGGAAAGAGAACCAAGGCGGAAGGAAGTGCAAAGGCCCTGAGGCAGGGGAAGCATCAACAAATGGTCTCTCTCTCAGGGGCACCTGGGCACCCAGATGGCTTCGTCGGTTAAGCATCTGCCTTTGGCTCAGGTCATGATCTCAGGGTCCTGGGATGGAGCCCCACTTCAAGCAGGGAGCCTGCTTCCCCTCTGCCTCTGCCGGCCACTTGCCCTGCTTGTGCTCTCTCTCTCTCTCTCTCTATCTCTGTCAAATAAATAAATAAGTAATCTTCTTAAAAAATAAAATAAAAAATAAATGGTCTCTCTCTTACTGTTTCTGTTCTTGACCACTGGTGTGTTTCTACAGTGGAGAACAGCCTAAACTTTGAAGTCAGAGGCAGTGGATTCAAATTCAGTCTCCAGTGCTGCTTGGCTGTGGGGCCCTGGGCAAGTCCCTTAGCCTCTCTGGGCTTCCGCTGCCTCATTAGGCCCCTCTCAGGGTAACAGAGGAGGTGAAGTGAGCCTTGCCCCTGCCTCTCCATCAAAGTCCTATCAGCCCATTTGGATGGGCTGAAAATCCTTGAAATTTCTGGGTTGAAAACTTCCTGTTGAAATACTGCCTCCAATTGGTAGGGCTCGATTTTCAAGTCAGATCCTCTCACAAGGTGATTTGTCTGTTTCCCCCTCAAAGGCATTTACTTGCTGGTCCTCGGATGCCATGAGTCGAGTGAGTCAGGCGAGGCTTCTCTAGAGGAACCTGGTCGTCGGCCGAGGCAGCAAGTGGTAAAGCTGTGATTAGGCGCCAGCTCTATGGAAAGGTCGTATGTGGGAAAGAGGCCAACTCCAGGCC